GTTGCTATTCTGGCACCTCCATCTCGTTCACTGTAGACCCCCAGGCAACTCCCATTCGCCTCAAGCCACACAGGGTACCCTTTGCTATCTGCCCCAAATTAGACGTAGAATTAGACAAATTGTTAAAGCAAGGGGTATTAGAACCAGTAGATTTTGCTAAGTGGGAGACCCCCCATAGTCACCCCACTCAAAAAGATGGCAGCGTGAGAATCTGTGCTGATTACAAGACCTCCCTCAATCGTTTTCTGCAGGTCAGTGCATACCCTGTCCCTGTAATCCAACATCTGTTACATACTTTTGAACTTGGCACTATTTTTGCCAAATTGGATATGTCCCAGGCCTACCAACAGTTCCCTGTTGATAATCAGACAGCTGAACTGCAAACCATAGTCACCCATAGGGGTGCATTCAAATGCAAGCGCCTCCAATTTGGCGTTAGTGTGGCCCCCGGTATTTTTCAGTCCCTCATGGAAAGGCTCCTTCAAGAGCTCCCAGGTGTAGTCCCTTACTTTGATGACATTTTGGTTTCAGCAATGAATAAGTCTCAACTCATGCAAAGGGTTAGGGCAGTCCTAGACAGGTTTAGGCAGCATGGCCTCAAACTCAAAAGGGAGAAGTGCACCATCGCCACTAAGCAAGTGGACTTTCAAGGCTACAGAATTGACACCTCTGATATTCACCCAATTGAGTCCAAAGTCAGGGCTATTCACGAGGCACCCACACCATCTAATAAGATGGAACTCCAAGCCTTTTGGGGGCTCCTGAACTTTTACACTTCATTTCTTCCTCATAAGGCATCCATTGCAGAACCTTTACACAGACTTTTAGATAAAGAATCCCCCTGGCATTGGGGACCTAGGGAAGCCCATGCTTTCAAATCAGTCAAATCCTTACTAACATCTGATCAGTTTTAATCCAATTTAATCAACAACTCCCCCTAGTCCTGGCAGCTGAAGCTTCTCCCTTTGGTATTGGGGCAGTTCTGAGCCACAGGCTCCCAAATGGCTCTGAGGCACCAATTGCCTTTTTCTCAAGGACCTTCTCTGCTGCAGAAAGAAACTACAGCCAAATTGATAGAGGCTTTGGCTGCAGTGGCTGCTGTCAAAAAGTTTCATGAATTCCTTTTTGGTCACTATTTTGAACTCTTATGACCATAAGCCATAAACCACTTCTAGGTCTTTTGTCAGGGGACAAGCAAACCCTGCAGGTCCTGTCACCTAGGATGACCAGGTGGACTCTGTTCCTGGCCGCCTACTCATACAAATTAGTGCATCTCCCTGGAAAAAACTTGTGTCACGCAGATGCCCTTAGTTGCTGCCCCCTGCCAGTTCCAGTCGAAGACCCTGCACCCATTCATGCCATTTTTGAAGTCAACGAACTCAATTTACCTATTACAGCTGAAGACATTGCAACGCACTCCAAAAAAGACAGGGTAATTGCCCAGGTCCTGGACTGGGTGGGGAGGGGGTGGCCTGAAACACAATACACTCCTGAATTCATACCATTCAAGATTCGCAGGCAAGAGTTGTCATCCCTGCAGGGTTGTTTGTTATGGGGAACAAGGGTGGTCATCCCAGCCACTCTTCACAAACCAATTCTAAAGGTCCTTCATGAAGGCCACCCGGGCATCGTGAGGATGAAGGCCCTGGCCCGCAGCTACGTGTGGTGGCCAGGCATGGATGCCCAAATCTCCAGCTGGGTAAGCTCGTGCCAACCATGCCAAACTACCAGACCAGCCCCACCAGCAGCCACCCCTGCCAGGTGGGAAAGTGCTGGGGGCCCTTGGTCTCGCCCGCACATTGACCTGGCTGGACCAGTACACGGGCGGACCTTCCTAGTCTTAGTAGATTCTTATTCTAAATGGATTGACTTGGCTCTACTCCTTTGAACAACCACTCAGGCCATCGTTAAAGCACTGACCCAAATTTTTGTCGCCCATGGCCTCCCTGACACATTGGTATCAGACAATGGCCCCCAGTTCACATCTTGTGAGTTCGGGATGTTCGCTGCCAACTTGGGGATTAGGCACATTCTCACAGCCCCTTTTCATCCAGCTAGTAATGGGATGGCTGAGAGGGCAGTCAGGTCAGTAAAGGAAGCATTAGCTAGGTTTGGCCAGATAGACTGGCACTCCAAACTATCCAGATATCTTCTGAGCCAGCATACAACCCCATAGGGTCATGTGGCCAGCTGGCATGCCAACTTTTGGAACTCCTGGGTGTACATGGCCACCAACTGTTGCCTTTGGGTGATTGTCTTTATCCAGATCTGAACCTTGTACTCGGCCAGTGGGTCCTTGAACTGCTGGTGAAGGGCTGCCATAAGTGGTCATAGTTCTTCAATTGGGGAGCATAGTTATTGTGGAGGGAGACATCCACTCAGCCACTCTACCCCTTCAGAGCCATGATTGCCCATCTTATTTGGGCTTCCCCCATCTCCAATTCAGCTCCATACTTCCGCATGTAGTTCCAGACTTGCACCAGGATGAACCCCAGATGCTCGGGTTCTCCCTCATATTTAACCCCCAAGTCAGGGACCTTTGGGGCCCAGCACCTTTGAGGAGTGGTCCCGGTAGGCAGAATGGCTTATGCAGCTTGGTTTAGGGTGACCCAGAAAACTTGTGTAACTGTCTGTGCAAGAGGCATTTGGGCTCTTCAACTCCGCCTAACCTGTTGTATCAGGAACAGGGCCTGGTTCAGCATGGCTTCCTCTGGACTTTCCTCTGGGAAGGGGTCTGCGTCTTCCCTCTACTCTACATTTCTCACCTACCTGAGTCTGATGGGCTTCTCATTGAGGTCCAGCTCCTCTTGCCATTCGGCCTCACCTCGAGCATGGTGTGGTCTAGTGGGGGAGCTGGCCAAAGCTCCAGTTCCCTCCAGCTCACCCCTGTGGTTGGACACTGGATGCTCAGTTCCCACGGTAGACTGCTGTCTCTGGATTGACAATTAAAGCAGAGCTTGCCTAATATCAGGGCTGCCTCTGTCCATTTCCTAGGAAGGAAAAATCCTTGGCTCCATAGATTTAGAGAAAAGTACTTTTACTGGGAATGAACTGAAAACAAGAAATTCCAGGCAAGTTCTGAAGCAAAGTGCATGAAAACAGCAACTTGAAACAAACTGTACAGCCCAGCCCCCTTGTGGCTAGGCAACTAGAGGCCACTGCATACCAAAGCCAACATAAATGCCCTTGGAGAGAGAAGCGAAATGCAGGCCATAGTTACAAAGCTTCAGTGCAAAAAATCTCCATTGATCTCTCTCCCCTCTTCTATGGCAGCAAGTAGCAGGCTAGCTGACAGGAAGAGTGATTCCAAAGACTTTGGCTTCTGTGCATACAGGAAGTTCTTGACTTATGATCATTCATTTAATGATGGTCCAAAGTTATGACAACCTCGGAAAAAGTGATTTATGAACTGACCTCAAAGTTACGACCAGGGTGGATTTGACTTGATTTAAATCATGATTTAAATCACTAGTAAAAAGGCTTGATTTAAATCAACTCAATTTAAATCATATTTTTTAAAGAACAATTGTCATCTCTGTCCTGCAGCGGCTCCCCGACCCTTTGTTGACGCACTGACAATCCCATTCACTTCAGTGGGATGGCTGGTGATGCAGCAGTGACAGAACAAGGTGAGGGAACATGGCAGGCAGCCAGTGAGTGAATGCCTGCTAACAGGTGCTGCCATGTTGGATATAAAATGATGCTCTTTAATGTAAGGACTCATTCTTGCTGGTGGTTAGAATCTTTAATATTATTATTTGCAAACGAAATGAAGGTTTCCTTGTAGAGCTTGGATTCATTGGATGAGTTTACCAAAAACGTAAATACTGCAGAATATACAGACACCTGCTACATAAATAAGCTCAATTTCATGCTGAATAAACTGAATTCTTAATGTCTCTTAAATAGAAAACTTCTTTAGATGTTTACTGCAAAAGCAGTTTATTAAAATAAATTTGATTTAAAAAAAATCTGATTTAAATAAAAAGAATCTGATTTAAATTAAAAATCCGATTTTTTGATTTTTTTAAAAAAGCATCGTTTTTCTCCCCTTTGGTTACGATCATTG